TGCTGACACTGAATCGAATTTACTCAAACCAAAAATAAGTCTCAGACAAGAATTTTGCACGCGTTGTATTTTATCTGAAGTGAATTTAGTTAGACATTTGTCATAGACGACATCACAGAAGTTAAAATGCGACAAAACAAGAGAATTGCACAGTATGACTTTAGTTTTTTGGTTGATGTAAGATTTTTGACCGTATATCGTCTTTAAATTAGAATCAGCCCTTCTGGAGCACTTGTTAACATGTTCCTCAAAACTCAAGTTTTTGTCAAGGTATAAGCCTAAATTACGCGCTATCGAGCTTATTTCTAAAGTATTGTTATCGAGGTTTATTTTCACCAGAGGTTCACAATGGTTTCTCCAATTTTTTGGCCCGAATAACATGACTGTACTTTTAGCCGGATTCAAGTCTAAGCATATATTTCGAGAAGCTTTAGTGAGACGATCAAGGTCTTTATTTATCAGATCAACAGCAGGCAATGTTTGAGCTGGAGGAAATGATAAGTACACTTGTGTATCATCTGCATAAAAATGAGCTTTACAAGAGTGAAGACTGAAGTATAGATTAGAGGTGTAAATAATGAACATTAGCGGACCCAGAATGGAGCCCTGAGGAACACCAATGGTCACTTTCAATGGCGCAGAGTACTTATCATTCAGCATTACCTGCTGTTGTCGATCGCTGAAGTAGCTTCGCATTAGAGACTCTGCATCGGCCGAGAATCCGTAAAAGTGGAGCATGGCTAAGAGTAGGTCATGATGTATCCTGTCAAATGCCTTCGTATAATCTAAGAGCACCAAGGCAGTCAGGTTACCTTTGTCAGCACTGCACAATACATCATCCACCACTCCCAGCAATGCTGTTGTACAGCTATGCGCCGGACGGAACCCTGATTGTGTATCTATAATGAGGTTATTCGTTCTTAAGTGTTCTCTTATCTGAACATCCATTATTGATTCAAGCAATTTAGATAATGTTGGCAATATACTAATATTACGCAAATCCTTGAGCTCAGATGGCTGAGCAACTTTAGGCAAAGGCACAATCAAAGCGTGCTTCCAACAAAAAGGAAAATAGCGACGCAATATGCATTCATTAATGATATGTGTCATGAAAGGAATAATTTTGGGGCAGCAATACAACAGCATTTCGATATTTATCAAATCAGCACCAAATGCTTTGCTTTTGAAGCCAAACAAAGTATCTTTAACCTGATCTGTGGACGCCAAAGCGAATTCAAAGAGGGATACATTTGGTTTAACATTATTTTTATAAAAAGAAAATGTATCAGCATCAGGTTCTATACCTGCACTAGATAAAGACGTAAAGTACCGGTTCATTTTGTCAACATCAGCTAAATCAACTGGGATAGATGACCTGGGTGTCTTATTGCCAAAGTTCATAGCTTCTAAATCTTTCCATAGAGTCTTATAGTTCGTACTGTTAATTTTATGTTCCAAATGAATCTTTTTAGCATTATCAGTTGCTAATTTTACTATATTACGTAACTTTTTGTATTCCTCCCATTTCTGATCGCACCTTGATTTCCTATAGGCAGTGAATTTGTCATCTCTAAGTTTCATTAGAAATTTAATGTTATCAGTCAGCCACGGAGCTGGTTTTTTCGTAAACCTTGCCATTCGATAGGGTGCAAATCTGTCAAATAGCTCTAAAACTAATTGATTAAATATATTTAATTTCGTATCTATATCCTGACAATAAACTATCTGCATAAAGTCTACTTCATCCAGAGCAGTCTTAAAAGATTCTTGGTTGATATTTTTGAAATCTCTGTAGCTACGTAGTACAGGTTGTTTGGTTTCTACCTCATATTCAAGGACTATAGATATCAAACTGTGATCAGACAAATTTGGTACATTACATACATCACAAGTACTTGGAATATCATCAGAGCAAAAAAAGAGATCTAGCAACGTTTCGGAGGAGACTCCAAATCTGGTCGGCGTAGCTACTATTTGATGCAAACCAAAATTATTCAACGAATCATCAAATAACTTCACAGCATTACTGTTTTTATCGAGAAAATCAATATTAAAATCGCCAGTGCAAATCATTTTGTCATATCTCGGATATAACAAACTAAGTGAATCTTGAAACTGATTGATAAAATCATAAACGTTACACTTAGGAGGCCGATAAACGACTCCAAAGCAAAAACTCGTCGCTTTAATTTTGAATGTAACCCACAATTGTTCAACTGAAGAGGTGATGTCAATAACGCTGCATCTAATTTTGTTAGTTATATAAATCAGAACACCGCCACCTCTGGAGTCAACTCGATCGTTCCTAAAAAGAGTAAATCCATCCAAAGATATGAGATCATTGTCTACATTTTGATTGAGCCAGGTCTCAGTTAATGCAATAATGTCCCAATCCTGGGAATTGACCACAGTGTTTTTGAAATCGACAAACTTGACTAAAAGCGATCTGATGTTTAATACTGCTATTTTAAGGTTTTTATTTTTATTCATATCAGTAGATAGATTAGCCATAGTCGACTCTTTCTTTTAGGTTTTGTACATAGTTTTGGTACATTGGACAACCTCTAAAATTTGTGGCATGGTCACATTGAATATTTTTTTTCTTTGTTCTGTTATAGTTCAGGCAGTTTATACATTTTGAAACATCAGACTTACAATCCTTTAACATATGACTTCCCGAGCATTTTGAACATATTATTTCCGTGGATTTGCATTCCTTTGCCGAATGACCGAATGAGTGGCACTTTATACACTTCACAATATGAAGGTGATCGCTTACAAGAGACTTCTTCCATCCTAAGAACACAAAGCCCTCTTGAAGTAAAACTTTCCGCACTGCCGGTGTAACTTCAATGACTATGTTGACACTGTTGAAGTGTTTCAGCTTCGTGACAAATTTTATGTCAGTCTGCTGAATGTTTGCGAAACTATTTAAGGAAATAATATTGTTTACTATGTCCTCAGGCGAATTTAAGCCCTCCAAATTTACATTTCTGACAAGCATGCGAGGATTCAGCTTCCTGGCTTGGGTAATGGAATATTTTGATCCAAGTTTGTTATTGAGACTGGTTTTGAGCGTGTTAAGTGATTTGTCATCTTTGCAGTGAACCGCTACACCATTCTTTATTCGTTTAGTGGAGTTGATGCAAACGTTCAGATTAGCTGGGTTAACAGATGACGTGATTTCTTGGAAAATATTCTTGCTATCAGCATTTTCCACTGCATCTGCCTTGATCAGCAACACAGATGAACTAGCGGTAGATGGTTTCTTTAAAATATCGCTAAAAGTGCTTGGATTTGGTTGCAATGCAATTTTTGGTGTCACATAAACATTATTTTCGTAAGACTTCAATAAGGTTTTCTGTAGTTCACTGGAGTACTCCAGTTCCGACATCAATCGCTTTGTAAGCTCCATTTCCCTATTTAGACATTCAACTTCTTTTCGTAAGATACTAGTCTCAGTTTTAGATGAATCACATTTCTTATATAGGAAGCAACGGCAGTCATCACAGACCCAGAGCAGATTTTCACACTCTGATATTATTTTTATCCAGCTGTCTTTGACTGAGACACAAGAAGTGTGGAATTTAGATGCGCAAATACTACAGTTAATTGCTTTAGTACTCACTATAAAATTATTCTCGCATACCTTACACAGCTCGACATCGGGTGCCATGACGAAAACATACACCCAATTTCCCTGAGCTATTTATTAGTACAGCGTGGATGAGGTTTTTGCTTCGTGGAATTTTTGTCAGAGCAAAAAAAAAAAAATATAGATGGAGTGCAGACAAAAATAGACCTTAGTGTATAACTACTTATGTAGAAATTGCAATAGATCAAAGACAACAGACGATATTCACATACCTAACTCACACGAAAATGCAGACACTACGCACTTCCACGTATACTGAAGCATAAAATTATTTATTGTCTATGTCCTCTAGAAAAATTAACTACAACGTCCCGCTAGCCGGTCCGTTGTTCTGCTTACCACGACGGTTAGCAGAGAAATAATGGGCAAAATCCGCAAAAAGAAGGAAAGTGGATTCGAGCAGATAATAAGATAAGGTAACCCGAGCGATACGTATTTCTGCAGGTTGGATTCATCAGGCCCAAAATGAATGCACATATGTAACTACAAAAGTAGATGGAGAAAGATGGAGAGGGAAGAAATGACACATGAAGTCCACAACAAGAGCCAACCTACACATTGTAGTATAAAATGGCTAGAACACCTCGAATTTTCATGGTCCGAAATTTTAGGGTTCAGGATATATTTGCAATTCTGTGAAATTTCGAAAAAAAAACTGGATAATGGAGTATCAATCGCAATTACAACTACTAAACCATTAGGCTTGGGCTGTGATTTTTTTTGAGATGAGCTAAATGGTCAGTTTTAGGAATAGTCATGTTATTTTTAACAGAGCTTATAAAAAATCAACGCAAAAAAATCTTAAATTCCTTTTTTGTGAAAATCTCTTCCATCCCTCAACTTTGTAGGGCGGTAAAAAATTGAGGTTGTATTTCATTAAGGTACACCGGGGTAAGTGTAAATACGGGGCAAGTGTAACCTATGCCAATTTGTGGTCTTAAATTCTATCATAATGGCGCCATCTATGGCCAATTAGGTTTATTATGATACCGGCTAAGCATCGCAATAGATGTCTTGCGCGCTAGCAAAACGAACGCTTCATCACATTTCGTTACTTAGTGTGTTTGCATTTACAGTTGACGACGCAGTTCTGTAGTCTCTTATAAAAATCTCTTTGTATTAAAGCTTTGATGACTTTTCATCGTAATTTCTGGTAAGCACTCCATTAAAGGTATTATCTATTAGTAAATAAACTTATCTTTTCTGAATTTTAAAGAATTTTTTTTAAATGTTGTGGTTTACACTTGCTCCAAAAAAAACTCCCTTGGGGCAAGTATGAAATATGGTAGGTTACACTTGCCCCAATAATTCTATTACGTTTACACTTTCCCGTTGTTTTCAGAACATGGTCCGGAATTACATACGTAAGAAAGCTCCTCCAGCCTATAGCAAAAACGATTTGAAAGAGGCAGTACAAGCTGTGCAAAGAGGTACTCTAACATTATATAGAGCTGCATTATTGTACAAAATACCCAAAGCTACTTTATTTACTCATGTAAAGGGTAAACGGGGTATAAAAAGTAATACGGGGGGTAGGGCACCAGCTCTGTCTTATGATGTAGAACAAAAATTTTCCAACAGTATTAAAATACTCGAAAAATGGGGTATGGGACTATCAAAGAGAGAAGTTCTTCAACTAATTGAAAGAAAATAATATAGTAACCCCTTTCAAGAATGGAGTTCCTGGCAATGATTATTTCGTCAGATTCACGAAAGCATTTCATTTAAGCCAGAAAAAACCGCAATCTGTGGAAGTGGCTCGAAAGAGGTCTATGGATCCATTTGTTATGTATGATTACTTCAATATCCTCAAACAGCATATTGAAAATATCCCAGCATCGCAAATTTATAATATTGATGAAACCGGTTTCTGCCTGGATCCATCCCGGATAAAAGTTGTTGGAGAGAAGGGTAGAGCAGCCCATAGGACAACAAGTGGTCCAGGACGAGAGAATATAACAGTTCTCCTTGGGGGAAACGCTGCAGGTGAAAAACTTCCTCCACTCGTAGTGTTCAAGGGTAAACACATAATGGAATAGTTGGATTCCAACTGAGGAATACCCGGGAATGACTTATTCAGCTACTAAAAATGGGTGGATGGAAACGGAAACCTTTCAAAAATATTTTGAAAACAATTTTTTACCAAATATTGGCAAAGACAGACCTACTGTATTAATTTATGATGGTCACACGTCTCACATTAGTATTTCTTTGATAGAAAAGGCAATAGCTAATGATGTGATTATAGTGAAACTTCCGCCTCATTCCAGCCATCTGCTACAACCTATGGATTTATGTGTTTTTAAGTCATTATAAATGGCATGGGATGCAGAGCTCATAAAATGGCAGAGACAAAACTATGGTACGAAACTACCAAAACCTATGTTTTGTACCATTTTATCAAAAATCTGGTCACAAGTAAACCCTTCGTTACTTATCAAAGGATTTGAGAAAGGAGGGATATATCCTTTTAATAATGAGGTCATTCCCGTTGAACATTACGATCCAGAAGCATATAAAAGGTGGTGTGATTCAAACTGCAAAAATAACAATCCGGAAGAAGCACAAGTAGCGCAACCAAATTTACGATCAACATTAGAAGAGCGTTTTAATTTGCCATCCACTTCAACAGTACCACCAATAACTCCGCAGACATCGTCAGTAAATTCAATAAATCCGGAAATGCCATCGACCAGTTCAGAACACCAGAATCCGCCAGTTAACAACACAAAAAGTTTTGAGAGCATTCTCTTAGAACAGCTAAAACAGAAGTCGACAACTAAGAAAGATGGTAAAAAATCGAAAAGAAAGCAAGTATTCGAAGAAGACACAGATGAAGATAGTTTTGAAGAAATGGAAGTCAATACTTCAGATGATGATTTTGACTTAGACGATGAAGTAAATGATTTGCGTGAAGAAGAAGAATTCGTGAAATACCTGGAGAAAGATCCTCAAGAACTGAAAATAGGGGACTGGATTCTAGTAAAATTTGCTACTAAAAAATCATTTAAATTTTATGTAGGGCAAGTAACAGAAGTAGAGCCATGTTTAGAAGCAAATTTTGCAAGACGCTCGGGATCTTCATCACAATTTCATTGGCCAGATACTCCAGATGTCTCAGTTATAAGAAGAGATGAAATACAACACTGTTTGCCTGCCCCAGATATTCACAGAAGAGGACACTTCCATTTCAACATCACATTTGACCAAAATATATCCTAAGTGATTTTTCCTAGTAAAAAAAATCTGATTATATTTAGTCTCTTCTTTTATTTACACTAGCCCCAATCAAGTCTCAACATTTTGTAGTAATTCAGACAGCGTATTTACACTTGCCCCAATTTGCTGGGGAAGTGTAAACCATTATTCTAACATGAAAAAAATAATTTCTAGAAAAAATCTATACTGATTTTGTTTTGTGTTTGTAGATTTCGTTTCTACATATACTTAAGACTATACTCTCAAAATTTCAGTGAATATTATAATTAAAAATAGGAAATACAACGCGAAAAAGTTGAACTATTGAAATTTTGGGTCACACTTGCCCCGGTGTACCTTATTGAATTTATTGTAAAAACTATTTCAACCCATATTGGTAGAATTTTTATTTTTGATTCATCAATTTTCTGGCGCAGTTTGTTGACATTTGTATATTCAGATGTATAGATTATCCCCTTGTAAAACCGCCATATAAAAAAATCTAGAGGATTTAAATCGGGTGACCTTGGAGGCCATCGTATGTGTCCATCTCTACCGCCGTACATACCGTGCAAAGTGGCATAGGGCACCATCGCAATGAAAATACATGCGGCTTCGAACGTCCAAAGATACATCCTCTAGCAGCTCATGCAAACTGCTTTGTAGAAAAACAAGATATGACTGACCATTCAACCTGGCGGGCAATTCATATGGTCGAATTAATTTTTGGTTGAGTACTCCAGCTCATAAATTAACGCCGAACTGACGTGTCGGCGAATAGCGTGTGGATTTTCCACGCTCCATGAATGGAAATTGTGAATTTTGAATGTTCCATTTCGACTAAACTTGGATTCATCAGTCCGTAAGATGCTGTCGAAAAAAGTTTCATCCTCTTCGCACATTCTCAACATACTCACACAAAATTCTACCCGTTGTGCATAGTCGCTTGGAAGCAATTTTTGTACTTTTTGTACATGGTAAGGATGCATGTTCTCCGAGCGTAGTATTATGTGCACTGAAGTATGGGATATGTTTTTGCTTCGGGCAATGGCTCTGGTGCTTATAGAGGGAACTCTCTCTCTTCTGCTTCTATCATATCTTCTATTTCTTCTGAGCGTATCCTGGGCGCTCCTAGCTGACGATGAGTGCCTAGTATGCAGCCCTCCATATACGCCTTATGGACGACCAGAAAAATGCGGTAGTCGGGATATACTGCCGGTTGTGGTCCACCTCTTCTAACCATACTCCCGACACATGAGAGCAGCTGCTCGAGTATTTCCTGGGGCAGCACCATAATAGTAATGCATTTCTACATAATCTCGCGGAGAATATGACATGATTCTACTCAGATGCCAAACGTTAGATACACATTCCGCGCTGGACCATTGCCTGACTTAGTAATTACAGATTTTTTAATGTGAGGCACTTATCGTAGCAAGCTGAGATTTCCAGGGTTTATTCTACATGGATTGAAATAGTTTATACAATAAAATGAATAATGAAATACGATCTCAATTTTTTTGCCGCCCTCCAAAGTTGAGGGATGGAAGAGATTATTCACAAAAAAATGAATTTAAGATCTTTGTGTTGATTGCTAATTAGCTCTGTTAAAAAGTGACATAACCATTGCTAAAACTAACCATTCGGCTCATCACAAAAAAAAAATCACAGCCCTAAACCTAATAGTTTAGGTGTAATTGCGATTGAAAGCTCATTATCCCGATTTTTTTTTCGAAATTTCACAAAATTGCAAATATCTCCTGAACTATAAAATTTCGGACCACACATATAGGAGTTCATTCGATATGTTTTGAGGCTCTCTATCAACTGAATTTTGTTGATCCACTACTAACTTTACATCCTGTATATCCCAGAAACGTAAAAATTGGTATAAGGTACAGCTGCAATAATATTAATGTTAATATTGTGAAATTGTTATTATTGTAATGGCGAATAAGCATTTATTTATTTTCGTTCTTTCCCCTGACCTGAGGCCAAGCCTGGACGATACTCATGAGTTGCCGAACAGCACAAAACATGTGTCCGTGGTTGACTGTCTGTGGTCGGAAGGACAAAACCAGTATGTTTAGATGGAAGCTATCATTTGTTTTATCATTTTAGAGAAAAATATCGATAACTTTGCTTCAATCGAAACCAAGTCAACTCAAAATTGATAACGGTTTTCTCGACGAGTGTCCAACTTCATGGTCACTTAATGATTCTGTTCAACACGCTATAGAATAAGGTGCAAACACTTAGAGCAGTTAACGGTACGGCAAAAAGAGCAGTCAAGTTAATGCAAGACTTCTATGACTTAATCACTGCTGATGAGGAACACAATTTTTTTATTACGTTGCGTACAAGAACACAGACATGTCTATCCTAACTGTAAAAAGAAAGCTTAAACAAGAATAGTTTGCAATTAATGTTCTTTTAAGGATACATATCTAAAAAAATATGAGATACAAAGAAAGCAATGTGTTATTTGTTGAATAAGAATTAGGTTTTGATATCCATACATGGTTTCCGTATTAACTTTCAAATTCAAGTTTGACCGAAAGTCGTTCCCCGATCGCAATAATATTTACTTCTTGAGTAGTTAGAGACAAATGAAAAAAAGAATAGAGGGCACGTGTATCTCGACTCGAACAAAATTTTGTTTGCCCTCATAGGCTGGGACACCCTGTGTATGTACATGTACATGTCATATAACATCCAAAAAACATAATATGTCATTTTACGAAAATTTTCTCGATTACAGTACTTCCCTGCCAGTAGTCGTGGAAAGAAAAAGTGATGTGCTTAACTAGGTACTTTTTGGGACTTATTTGTGCTTTCTACCGAGACTTTACGTTAAGACTCAGTGGCATTTTGGGATCTAGAATTATTTATCGATCTCTCTACGTCGCCTCAACCAAAGTATCGAGGATGTATAGAATGACTGTCTAAGAAAAAAATTCCCTGGTTCGATCAGTACCAAGTACTCTTGTTCTTAAGCACCAGCGAAGACTTGGTATTCAAGTTTAGCCTGCATGACCTTCTGGGATATAACAAACACTTAAGTTCAATTGACACATATTTTCGCTGTAAACAGTTAAATCAAACATAATAAATACGTTTTTATCGTACTGATACAGCCAACTTCTATAAAAAGCTTAAAGGAAAAGGACAGGGATAAGCTTCTTCAGATAGATTGTTCAATAATCTCGACACCCTAGAAACAAAGGAGCAGTCGCACCCGTCAATTCTCGACGTACAAGGTTCCATAGAATTGGGAGGTGAAGTAGAAGCCTGGGGGGTCTGTCTGGCAGAATCAACGTGAGGCGGCCTCATGGAGGAGAGCTCGGAGGAGTAAAGCGCGTTGGCATTCCAATGAAAAGAGAGCCAGATTGCCGACAGCCCGATAGTGCGAAAGGGCCCCGAGATTGTTCGTTAGAGAAGAGTCATTGAACACCATCGGTTATGTATAATTTAGTCTGAGCGGCAGAACCTTAAGCATGTGGGCAGTACTCCAGGCTAGGTCTTATCTGGGCCTTGTACAGAGTGAGGAGATTGTACGGAGAAGAGAAAAAGGCAGAAGCCTGGAGGGTCTGTCTAGCAGGCTCAACGCGTGGCGGTATTAATGGAGGAGGTAATATGTTGCGAATGAAAAGGTCGGAATAACATACTTGCTATGATTATAATTTCTGCACACCTAGCATGACGCGCAAAACCACCATTCTTTAGTTTACCTCCTAATTAGAAGATGTCTGATAATTTCCAAGACACACAATACTCATACAAAATTATCATAACTTAAGCTTGAGACGTGTCACGTGAAGCTAGAATAAAAGATCCGCCA